TGTGTGAACAACTATCGTATTGTTATGTGTAATAACCTCGCCTCGAGCGAGTATGTGTTGTGTTTGTGTTTTTTTGTCTTCTCCTTGAAGCTCAAATCTCCTGCCCCATAAAAATGTCAACTTTCACTCTCCAAGCAATGCGGTAACATCGTTCTACCCCTATCTTACGCCATTGAGGGCAATGCCGAACTTAAGTGTGGCGGGGGGGGGGGGGGGGGGGGGGGTTATTATTATATTTGTGTGAGTGATTGATGATTGGAGCCTTGATGTATGCCCAAATTTGAAAATTTTGAGGGTTCCAAGCAATGTTTGCATTATCAAAGTGGTCGGTTTGTAGGAGAATCTCGTGTTTATTGACATTGACCTTGAATTGTTGCATGTGATCGATTGTGTCCTATGATGATGACTAAGAGGTGCTTTATGATAGTGCAAAGGTTTAGTTCTCATGTGTGCAAAAATGAATGGATGTCTTGACTCGATTACTTGTTGATTACAATTGCCATGCATTGTGTTTTGTGAATTGGAATAGATGATTGGGTGGCTAGGTAGCCACGTGAGTTTTGAGCCGATCGTTTTCTTCTTGTGTGCTTAGATACCTCTTACCATGGCGAGTAACATCACAGTTGTCACTAGTTAGTACGATGGAGGCATAGGATTAGTCCACACCCAAATGTTGATTTTCCCGAAATGTTTTATCCCCTAGTCAACCCTTTTGAGCCTTATGACTTTGGGGGTCGTTCTCTTGTAGGAGCTTTTTGATTGTGAGCTTAATGGTGTTTGATAGAATGATCCCCCATCCTTTCTTTGTGTCTATACGTGAGTCGTCCTTGTGTCCCGGGGCTCTCGTTTTTTAGTTCCATTGAGGTTCTACGTGGAGAATTGTGTGCGTTTCTTGCTATGAATGAAAGAGAAAAGATAAGTGTTGGAGTAAGCTCTTAAAAGAGAGCATTGGTTGTTAAAGATAACGTGTCAAGTGTTTTACTCTCTAGTACCCCCTCAAAAAGAAAAGAAAAGAGAAAAAGAAAGAAAAGGTAAGTAGAAAGAAAAAGAATAAAAAAGAGATAATAAAACGAGGTAAACAAAGTAGAGAGTGCCATAAAAATCAAAGAGTATGCTCTAGGAGGGGTTTCTTGGAATTCAAGCCATTGAAACCCTCACATTTATGTTGAACTCCTTCACTACCAAGTCGAAATGTGATAGCAATAGTAGAACGAGGAAGAGCGCTTAAATGTAGTTCATGAGGGTGATAGTTTGGAAGGGAGAAGCAAGGTTTTTGGTCGATGCTAGTGGCCATTGTTTGTAGGGAAGGTTCTTAGTCAAAACCATAGAACCTTTGGGTTTAGGGTGAAGGTGTAGGACATCATGTTGTGTTTGCCACCACCCAAAAAGCTTTTCCCCCATGTCTAAGACAATTGCCAGTCATTTGAACCCGTGTCTAAGACCTCCGGACAAGCTAGTGATGACAACCGTCCCGTGAACTCTAACATTTAGAAGTTGCCGCCGTGGTGAAGAGACGATAGGGCCGAGTGTTGATGATTGTGCACATTCTTTGCACCAAAAAGGTCCCGACCCCACTGGTCAAGAGAGTGAGTGATTAATTCTTGCTTTTCATTTCATATCATACCCCGGTGAAGACCTTCGTCACCCATTCGTTTTTTCCTTGGACTTGAATGTTATGCATGGTTAGTTGCGGTTGATAAGTGATCTTGTTGAGACTTACATTGATTCATGAACAAGGTGTGAACTTTTCGTTTTCCCGTTTTTGGTGACCTCGAATGTCATTTGTGGTGGATGTTGTTATTGCTTGCAACGGTTCATGTGTTAATTGCCAATAGCCATTGATATTCGCCACTTTGTGCCCTTTGATTTTCCCCCAAAGCATTTGGTTAGGTTGAGATATTACCTTGTGTGAAATGGTTTGCTTGGTGACAAGCAAACATCTAAGTGTGGGGAGTGATTCGAGCCTAATTGTACACTTTATATCCCCATTTATCTTTGATGTTTGTGGCAATTGATCTCCAAAAGGGGTGGTTTTACGGTAGGTCTCTTGTGTTTCAATGTGTTTCGGAGTCCAACAGGTGAAACCAACCCCGGAGTTGAAAGTTGGAAGAAAAGAAGCAAAGACCGGGCATAGAGGAGGATTCAGCCACTGTTCACGGTCAAACATGGGAGTTTACGGTTGTCAGGACCGTTAATTGGAACCACAAACCGTGAACCGTGAAGCGTCCAGAGGGGTTTCAAAGGTTACTGACGCCAAGGCAGTTCACGGTCGCTAAGACCATGAACTAGAACCATGGACCGTGAACCCCAGAAGTGAAGCAGCGCATTTTGATCCAAGTTCACAGAGTTCATGGACGCGACCTGATGTTCATGACCGCGGACTGGGCAAGATCTAAGTATAAATAGAGAGCTGAAAGGAAGAAGAAGGGGGGAGCCTAAAGTGAGAGAAACCTTCTTATTCTTGAAACCCTAGAGAGAGAAAGTCACGAACCAAGAGGGAGAAGAGGCTAGGGTTTTCTCCAAGTGAAGATTTTGGAAGTTCCTCTTCTTTAGAGGATCTCTACAAGCACAAGGAGAGTTGGAGGCATCACAATGATTAGGGGTAGAAATTGGTACGGTATCGGTATCTCAATACCAATTACCGAAATCCTGAATATCGAATATATATCCTAAAATCAATCCCAATCCCAATCCCAATCCCAATCCCTAAATAATTTTGATATCCCAATCCGTAAATATTTTGGTATGCCAATCGCTACTTCGGTATCCCAATATATATTATCAAATAGGAAATTAATTACCTTTGCAAATAATAATTAAATATGTAAAGTGGATTTGATTGTTTACTATATGGCAAAGAGACTAAGCAAAGAGTCCTGAGTTTACCTAGAGATAGGATATGAAAAAGGAAAATTGATGAGTGGTGACATATCAAATTCTTGTCATTGGTAATCTTTATTTAAATGAAGTGGAGGTTGAAAGACGATTAATACTAGTGTTTGTTTTTAGGTGTTATAAAAATAACAAGAGATTAGGTGAGAGACAATAGTGACTTAAACTGGAAAGTCAAAATTGAATTGGATGAAGGCTTCTAAGTTGTGAAAGAGTGATGAATGACGAAAGGTTGTGTGCTATATTTCATTAATTTTTAATTTTCGGTATTTCTTAGTATTCGGTATATACTGATCTTAATCCCTAATACCAAATAACACCCCAAAATGAATCTCAATCCCTAAAAAATAAACGGTATTCGGTAATCCCAAATAGTGATAAATTCGGTACGGTATTTGGTATATCCCAAATACAAGTACCAAACTTCCAGCCAAAACAATGATGGTTTCTTTCTTTATCTTTTGTGTTCTTCTTTTGTCTAGCATGGAGTAGTTTCCCTTTTCACTTGAGTGTTGTAGAACCCTAACTACTATCATGTAATTGATTGTGTGGATTGAATGATTGTGTGATGGCGGTGTTTAATTTAAGAATTGAGGTATTTTTCATGGTGATTGTGCATTGTGTGTGCTTGGCAATCTATTGTGTTATTCTTACCTAGATTAGAGAGAAGCCCCCTTATCTTAAGAGGCTCAAAATTGAGTTGAGATTTCTTAGGCATTCCATGCCTCCTAACTAGGTTAATGAAGGGAAAACCTCTACTTGAATTGGACACATAGGTTAATTGTGATTATGCCGTCCAAGCCTTGGTTTGAGGGAGAAGGTAAATCAACCCTCAATTGCTTGCGCCAAGAGGGATACAATTGTAGCCTCTAATGATTACCTTGGCATAGCAATTGAGAGGATGGTTTCTAACCATTGTTGCACCTCCTACGGGTCACAATTTCCTTGTCACACACCGGTTCATTCGATCCCACGGTACATGGTAGTTAGTTAGGGGGAAGCAACACCCGAGTGAAGCTTCTCACCAAGAGTTTTCCACCCATTTACTTTTCAAGTATTTCTTTCAAATCGTAGATTATAGAGATTTCAACCAACAACAATCCGATAGATAATGTTTCAAACAATCAAAGTAGGGGTACATGGGCCTGACCTGGTTGATATTTAAACATACTTGCCCTATATTGCACCCATCTAAGATTTATACTTGGGCTTTAGGTGAGATTTTATTGTGATAGTCAGAGAGAGTCATCTTTGTATTTATCGGTCCATGACGATGCATAGCTACAATGAGAGTGAATCGTGAAACGAAAGCCAGAAAACAGAGCACAAACACACGAGTTCTCAAATTTGTCTAATAAGCAGGATTCCAAAACACGGAAAGAGCATCATAATCGCTTTGTTAAAGAAAAAAAGGCGTAGCTTTTACCTGTCATAAGTGGAACCAATGAGCGAAATGCTAACCATTTATTCTTGGGATATCTTGAGCATGGGTGCTTGCAAGATGTAACAAAGCTCAATAGCTTGGCGACATATGCTAAAACTGGGATGCTTCCTCTCCAATTGTTGATAGAGAGTAATACAGTATGCATGCCTGTTATGAGCTTCATACGCCATATCCACCCATATTTGAATCTGGAAAAATATATATAAAAAGCAAGAGAAAAGATTAAAAGATCCATAAAGAAACTCAATGGCCCTTCCGTACATTCCTCTCCCATAAGATTTTTTCCCTAATTCAAACATCAACTAAGCCGTCTGTCTCCTCTCTACCAGCTCCTGAGCCACCTGCTCTCACAGTTTCACCATACCCATCACTCACCAAAAAATCCTACACATACCCTTTTCCCCAATTTTGAAGCACCAATCAAATAAAGAACTCCATGCAAACCCTAAAGTGTGAGGAAAGGGAATGAATTGATGACTCTCCCTTCTTCACCACTTTCAAGTTCCTTTATGACTCTCAGCCTCTTCTCTTCCTCCGTCTCTTCTCTCCCTTCTTCACTACTTTTACTTATTTATTCTTCCGCCTGTCTCTACAAATCCTCAGCCTTCTTCTCCAATTCTCTCATCTCTTTGATTTGCTTTACTCTTTTCCTTATCTGCTTCTCCTAATCGAATGGATCCCCTTCTCCCTCCTCGTCGTTCCCGTTCTCGTTTTCTTTGCCGTTATCGAAATCCACCCCGTTCACCTACGAATTCTCCTCCCCAAGGACCATGAATCTCTGATTCCTCGCTTCCCCTTCCGACTCGAAGCCCTTCCCGGCCAGAGAAGAAGCATGGACATTGCTAGAATCAGTGAGATGGTGAAGTTGCCGCCTCAACAAGCTCAATAGCAGATCGAGAGCCACTAGACGTGTTTCCCTCTCGGGGAGTATGATGATCGGTGGCATCGTCACGTCTAGAAGAAGCGCTAAGTTTTCAACCACCGCCATGGTTGCTGCCGATTCAGAGATAGAAAAATTGACTGATAGAGGAAGCAAACGAGAAACGAAACAGAGAACATAAATGATAGAAAAGATATTTTCTTCAAATGAAGTGGGATTTAAACACGGCAAAGACTCAAATATCCCTTTCGTTAGTTCGAAATCGAAGCGGACTTAGAAATTATGGGGTATATTTGTTTGGAAGTGGAAAAAAATGTGGCGCGCTTGCCGAGAAACACGTGTCTGGAAATGACTAACTATATCAACCCAATACTCGGAAATAATTTCATATGATGTCGTTTCACAGGCTCGCGTGTCGGCGGCCACTGACTGCACCGCCGTCGACAACCAACAACTTAGGTCACTCAGTTCGTCTATGCTGGCTCCACGATCCCGCTCATAGATGCCGAAACGCGATTTCTGCCAAATTCACGAGAAATTCATGCATTATTTTCCAAAAGAGTGCGGTTTATTATTCGCGGAGCAGAAACTGGATCTTGGAGGAAAGAATTGTCTGGGTGTCAGCTTTTGTGGTCGCTAGCGCTTCTTTCTTGCGACAAATTCACCTTGGGAGTACAGGAATCGAGATCGGGTGTTTTATCTTCCAAATTCCAAATGTCTTCTTCAAAGGGAAGGCACTAGCTGAGCATCCCATACGCAGAAAGAACGAGATTAGATGGAAGGGGATGGAAAATTTTCCTCTAATGGGTAAAGCCAGCATATAAAAATATATAGAGAATAAATTAGGGAGGCGACGAGTGCAGGACTGTTGGCTTCGACTTTGAACGCTTTGGAAATTTGTGCAATTGTTTTGGTGGAAAACTAGTGAACTACGAGAGTAGAGATTAAAGTAGGGAAATGGAAAGAGAAGTACAAAACAGAGAGATTGAAATGGCGGTGGAGTAGGGAAATAGAGAAAAGAGAAAAGATAGTGCTAGGGGTTAATTGTGTGTATCTTCGCGTGGATGCTAACCAATTCACCACCATTTGTTATCAATTGATTATAATAATAGCAAGGAAAATATTTATTTTCTAATTTCTACCAATAAAAAATATTATTTACTATTCAAAACATTCACTCATTCAGAATTATCTAGAAGGTATATTTTTTTATTATGAATGGGTGGCTTTATCTCATCAATACAATCTGTACATTCAGCAACTCTAAGCACACTATTTTATCTATACAATCTTTAAACAAAACCAAAGTACAAGAGACAGATCCTACAGCTGCCTTCTACCGCCCTTAGATCCTCGTTATCGCAATTGCTGGACATCCGAGGATTCAACGAATTTTGGATCACCAACAGCCTTCGCTCTCGTAACTCCCTGCAACTTAGTAACCAAACCTGCAACTGCCTGCTGATTACCCCCATACAACCTGGGACATCTCTCTCGCCATAGTTCGCTCAGTACTAGACACAATAAGACTCTCCCAACTAAACACTTATGTAGCTTCTGAATCACAAAATCAACAACATATTGCAAGGTAGCAGGTAGAGGAACCTGACAAGTTGTTGGAAAAGAAGACCTCCACACTTCCTGTACATACACACATTGAAAGAAAATATGATCTCTTGTCTTAGGCAGTTGTTTACACAGCGGGCAAGTGTTGCAAACCTATGGATTCCAACTGATTATCTTATTCAGAGTATTAATCTTCCCCAGTAAAATCAGGCAAGCAATGACTGAGTTCTTTGGAATGCCTCCTTTCCAAACCAGTTTGGACCACTCCACAGGAGTTCCTCGAGGTCTAATACTCTGCCATATTTTGCTTGTCTGGAACCTTGTCATCAGTTCTCCCTCCCATTCCACTCCTCTATTCGTTTTATATAGTTTCCCCTCAAAGCTGTCACGCAACTTGAGGATCTTATTCCATACCCATGACCCTTTTGTTTTAACTTCCCAGATGCTCAGATTACGGAGCCTGTACTCCTTTACCCATACAATCCATAGCGTTTCTTGATCAAAAAGCAGTTCCCAAAGATGTTTGGCCAAACAGGCTTTGTTCCAGGAATACAAGTCTATAAACCCCATACCCCCTTCTGCACGAGGCAAAGCAACTATCTTCCATTGTACTTTTGCTCTCTCTCTTCTTCTTCTTCTTCTTCTTCTTCTTCTCCTCAAAATCAGTCCAAAGGAACTGGGAACAAAGCTTTTCAATTTATGTTATAACTTTCTTAGGTAGTAATATGACATTCATCCAGTACTGGGTCATACTAGCCAAGACTGATACGACCAGTGCTAGCTTCCCCGCGTAGGTTAATAGTTTTGGCTGCCATCCAAGTATCCTTCCTGCAATTTTTTCAATCAACACTTTGTCAAGAATGCCCCTATCAGATCCCAGTGTTCTTGAAAGAATTCTACTGGATATCCATCAGGTCCTGGGGCCTTTCCCTTTTTCATGCTCATCACTACCTTCTTAATTGCTCCTGCTGTAACCAAAGAACACATGTCCCCACTGACATCCCCCAAGTACAGTTTCAGTAGTTGCCTTAAGGTGTCCACTGTAACTCTTTTCAGCTGCATGTTCTGAGTCCCCAAAAGATTCTTATAGAACTGCACTGCCTCTCTATCAATCTCCTCTATATCTTCCAAAACCTCTCCTGAATCAGTGACCAACTGCTTGATTGTATTCTTGGACTGTCTTGTTTTGACAACACTATGAAAGAACCTAGAATTGGAATCCCCACCATTTAGTCATTGTTGTCTTGACTTTTGTTTAAGGAAGGACTCCTCAGCACGCTGAAGCTCCAGAAGCTAGACCATACACCTCTGTTCAACCTGAAAGACCGATGAGGCACGGCGCTCCATCACTTCTAATTGTGCTTTTGCAAGTTCAACATTTGCCTGTTTCACCTTTTCATGTATTTCTGAGTAACACTCCCTGTTTAGTCTTTTCAACCAAGCTTTAAGATTCCATAAGCGCTGATACATTCTAGCCATAACCGAGCTAGTTACAGGGCAAAGCCAACCCTCTTTCATTAGATTCTCATATTTAGGATGCAGTTTCCAAAAATGAAAGTACTTAAATTGACGAAGCAGAGTTTGGATATGTGAATCCAAGTTAATGAGCAATGATATGATAGACCGGGAAGCAGAATCTTGACTGAGCTTCTAGGAAATGCCTCCAACCAACCTTCTTAGACTAGTACACGATCCAATCTCTTTGCTATTGGATTGGCTGACTGTTTGTTTGACCAAGTAAACCATGGGCCCATTACCTTGTGAGCTATCAACTTCATATCATCTATCCATGTTTTGAATTGTTGGGAACTTTCACCCAATCCACGTGAGTTAGAAGATTCAGTACCATCTACAATTGCATTAAAATCCCGCTGCATCAATCTTCTCTTTAAGCTCTAGGTACACTAGATGTCTTTCCACAACCTCGTTCGATCCATAGGCAAATGTAAACTGAGTAGGCCTTCTCCCAGATAGTAACCCATGGGCGTAGAAACCATTGCTTTCTAACACCCTAAACTGTGTCTCCTTCCTCCATACTACCCATATTCTGGCTACTCCTGCAGTTGAGTAAGTATCTTTATACTTCCGACCTGGGAATTTCTCACAAATTATTTTCTCCACCTTATTTGAACTAACTATTGTCTCTAGAATCGCCACCATCTCCACCTTATACCTACGAACCAATTCAACTATATTCTCCTGGTTATCAGGGCTATTAAAACCCCTCTGATTCCACACTAGAACATTCATGACTTTACTGTATTTTTTGCCCTTTTCGGAGGCCGACCTGGTTTACCTTTCTTCTTGTTCTGGCTTTCTTTCCCCAGTTCAGGAAATTGGGCCGGATCCTTAAGCAGTGATACTGCAATCTCTCCCACTTCAAACTGTGCTAGAGATGAAAGAACTTCAAAGGAATTGTCATTGGAGAAGAGACTACCTGTTGTAACTGCTTGCTGGAACTCATTGTCAGAAGGAAGCACACTGCTCTTCCAAGGAGTCCCTACAGCGAGTGAGGAAGTCAGATTCTCCATAGCTCTCTGCAACCCATAAACAGATTCCTCAGATAGTACTACTCCAGATCCAACTTTAGACTCCTTAACCCCAATAACAGCACTTTCTGGCTCCCCATTTACTGCTTCTGCCTCAATCCTAACAACTGCATCCGCACTATAGGGGCCTGAGCTTCCACAACATATGCTGGTACCTCCTCCTGGGCTTTCTCGTTCTCCTGTTCACAGTTGTGGCCAAATCTACAACACTTTGCACATATCTCAGGCTTATTACAAACTCTAACTCAACAAAATAAGCAGGAAGGTATAAATATTGATAAAGGGGAAATGCCATTCTCACCTCATGAAAACATTGAATTGTGTAAATTGAATGAATAATTTAAATAACTGATATAAATATGCTTTTGTTGCTTTACTTAGTAATAATATATAAATTTCTATGATTTAAAAATAAATTACATTAATATAATAATCACGCTTTCATCGTGCTCTTAATATCAAATCTTTAAAAACTAAACGCTATTTCGTTCTCGCTTCGGCTTCACGAACTGATTAGCTAACCAAACAACCGCAGCCACATGCCCATCCTTCGCGATTGAGGCGCGCGCCGTGTGTGGGTCCCGTTCTGGTGTTGCAATTTATAAATCTCTCTCGTGCGACCGGTCCACTCAGCTAACATTTAGCTGGCCTTGCGCGGAAATTCAATTCGTCTGCTTTTCCATGGCGCTTCTTCAGCTTTGCGGCACAGCGCCACGTCTCCTCCCTTCCCGCCACCGCTTCCCGGTCAGCGGCGTCTTTGACCGTCGGAGCGTCCTTTTAGCTAGAGAGACGAAGTTCGAACTTTCTAACTTGTCTTTGAAGAATCGATTTGCTACTGCTCGCTTTGCTCCTTTGAGATGCGCTTCCGTCAACGGCTATTCGACGGAGAACGGAGCTGGGAGGATTGATGTTGACGGAGCACTAGGAGAGGAGGATGGAAATGAGGATGAGATGCACCAACGGATTCGGAATTTCATCGAGTTCCTGCCGTCAATTTTACCCGGGGGGAACTGGTGGAGCTTATCCGATGACGTGGACGTGAAACTCGTGGCGGAGCCGGTGACCGTGTGGAAGGCGCTAGGGCGGATGTGGCAGCTGGTGGCTCAGGATCGTTGGGTCATCTTCGCCGCGTTCTCCGCCCTAATTCTGGCTGCGTTATCAGAAATCTCCATACCACATTACTTGACGGCGTCGATTTTCACGGCACAGAGCGCCGACGTTACGACCTTCCACAGGAACGTCCGGCTGCTGGTTCTGCTGTGCGCTACTTCCGGGATATGCAGGTCAAGGCGTTGTACGGGTTCAACTAGTCCCTCTATTTTCTCTGAACTGATAACAGTATTATTACATTCTAACTGGTGTGTGGCAGAGAATGCTGAATTCCTTTTTACTGCTTGTTTTTTGGTAAGCTCAGCGGGTTAAGAGGTTGCTGCTTTGGCATTGCGAATATGATCCTTGTGAGTTGTTTCTCTTAGCTTCAATTTCTGAACTTGTTCAGTAGTGCTGCCAATTGCCAAATGCCAATCCCTTTGAATATTTGAAACCGACATTGGTGTTTGGTTGGGTTCCTTGCCGTATTTTCAGGTGAAGCGGATGAGAGAAACTCTTTACTCTTCAGTTCTTCTTCAGGTATAGTTGTTAACGCTTCTTTCTTCGGGGTTGCTCACGTTACTTGATGATATATTGCAGCAGTTTATTGCTACATCTTTTGCAGGATATTTCATTTTTCGACAATGAAACAGTTGGTGATCTGACGAGCAGGCTTGGATCGGATTGCCAACAAGTGTCTCGGGTTATTGGGAATGATCTTAACCTAATCTTGCGAAATGTTGTGCAGGTTTATGTTTTCTACTAATGTTTTCCAGCTGTCAGTTAGTGTCAACTTAAAGAAACCTATTCACAGTTTGTTGCTCTGCTATAGGGTACAGGTGCATTGACCTACTTGCTGATCCTGTCTAGGCCGCTTGGTCTGTTTACAGTATTCATATGCTCAGTTTTAGCCGCTGTAATGACAGTCTATGGCATGTAAGATCTTTTTATTTCTTTCTTGAAGTAAGCTTGTCGTGGTTATCTTTTTTGTCTTTTTATGAAGCCTAGCTTAATGAAATAGAGCCTTGTTTTGAGATGATGTACGAGGTTGAGAATGTGCTTGGTATAGTATAGTGGCGTGTGTTGTAGCTGACTGAACTTCGAGGAGACTGGTTTGAACTACTAGCAGAAATATCTTGATTCTTGACCATGGCTTTTAGCAAAGGTTTTTATTAATTAACAGTATAATTTTGCTCCAAGGAAACTCAGCAACCAATAACTGTGTGTTGAAATGTGGCATGAATAGATGTTTCTTCTGTAGTGATTCCTATGCTACCTTGGGGAATTTTTGTTGGTATTAGGTATCAGAAGAAGGCAGCAAAACTAACCCAAGATTTCACAGCTTCTGCCAATGACGTATGATGGTATTCCTTAAGTTTAAGTTAAGAACCTAACTGATATGCTTGAGGTCGTGAATGGCATTGTCTTAACCTTGTGCAGGTGGCTCAAGAGACATTTTCTTTGATCAGGACAGTTCGTGTTTATGGAACTGAAATGTTAGAACGTGAAAGGTCAGTCATAGTCAATTTTTTATCATCTTTATTCGGATTTCTAGTGCTTTAGTTGTGGCATCCATAAGGAAGAATGATCTGTGGTGGTAGACTTTCTAGGGGAGTTGAAGTTGCACCTACAGTACTGATCCGCTCTCACTCTGACATATTTCCTTGAATTTCATAGGTACAATTTTTGGCTGGACAAATTGGCTGATATCAGTCTCAAACAGAGTGCTGCATATGGATTTTGGAACTTGAGCTTCAACACACTTTATCACTCTACTCGGGTCCGTCATGTCTTATATTGCAGTGTACCAAGTTGCACATTTCTAAATTGTGTGAACTATATCTCATTCGGTAGTCTCTTGCTGGGGGATCAGTTACCGTATGTTGAGCAACATATTTTGGTTTCTAGGTCATTGCTGTGTTATTAGGAGGCATGTCTATTCTTGCTGGTCAAATTACAGCGGAGCAACTCACGAAGTTCATATTATACAGCGAATGGCTAATATTTTCTACTTGGTGGGTGGGAGACAATTTATCATCTCTCATGCAATCTGTTGGCGCTAGTGAAAAGGTCTTCAAAATGATGGATCTCTTGCCAAGTGACCAGTTCGCGACAAAAGGCATGCTATTTTCATGCATGAATTATTTGATGATTGAATACTTCCTAAATGTGAACCTTATCAGTATCAGCTTTAATCCAACTTTCTTTAAAATATTTTATTTTGATCTTAGAGGCACTATATCTAGCTAATTGGCTTTCAAGAACTTTTGATTCCTGCCATGCAATGCTATTTTGGGCTTTTTGCGGAAGTGTTAAAGATTGTCTTAGCAAGTAATCATGAAAATGCCTTACAAGTGATCATAAGAACCAAACAGAAAAGACTGCATGAGCTTGTCCAAAGTGACTACATTAGGCTGTTGTATCGATCAATTACTATATATTGCCAGGATTCATGATTGTATGATAGAAAATAATGGCTTGATGAGGTAATTTCTGAAAAGTTGTTGAATGCAAATGTTGAAGCAAACTAGTTGTATTTCTGACCTTTTAAAAGCTGCTTGTTGCTCTTGCAGGATCACAGCTACAAAAGCTGAGGGGAAGCATAGAATTCGAAAACATATCTTTCCATTATCCTTCTAGAGAGTCAGTATGGATGCTGCCTTCATCTCCAAATTGCACTCTGCTTCTGTTTCACTTTTATATATTCACTTATTTTATCTCGGCTTTATCTTCTGTTTAGCATTCAGATCTCAAATTTACTCTGGTTGCTTTAGTTTTATCACTTGCAAAATGAAATAAATTAACGTTTCGATACTTTAATAGGTGCAGGTACTGCAACATGTAAACCTTACCGTACATCCTGGGGAAGTGATTGCAATAGTAAGTTTACCCTTACTTCCATGTTGTTCATTCCTCCTACATGTCACCAAAATAATGTGTTTTGACTTCCCATAGGTTGGTCTTAGTGGTAGTGGGAAAAGCACTCTGGTGAATTTGTTACTCCGCCTGTATGAGCCAACAACTGGTCAGGTAAAATCTCTTACTATTTTTTGAATTTCTCATCCATAAGACGTCAAGATTCTTAGTCCATGCTGCTGTAGAAGTTTGTTCAAGGTAGTTGGCTGAAGATTTGTATCTGGCATTTATCGTATCCCTTAAGAAATCACTGTAATATCCGAAGTGATGGCTTTATGAGAAAGAAAATGCTAAGTTATGTTACTCAAAACCATTACTATTCTCTTAGATAAACGTCAATCGCTGTTTTGAAGTGAGGTTCAGATATCCCTGTTACTGCCATTCATGGTCTGTCAGGGATGAAAATTTTATGGCTGTAAAACTTATCTCTTCCGTCTTCTGAAATCACGCATCAGTTTCATCTGTCCTTCATATTTGTCAATAACTACAGATTTTGATTGATGGCATTCGCCTTCAAGAACTGGACATCAGATGGTTTAGGGAAAGAATTGGGTATGTTGGCCAGGTTAGTTCTTCATCCTAAACGTAACACACATTTTTGGAGTCTCAGGAATTAGCTTCTGCTTACACCAGTTCTATTGAAGCAGGAACCCAAACTCTTCCGCATGGATCTGAGTTCAAACATAAGTTACGGATGTCCAGGAGATGCAACCCAGGAGGAAATCGAGCATGCTGCTAAGGAGGCATATGCTCATGACTTCATCTCTTCATTACCTAATGGCTACAAAACCATTGTTGATGATGATTTGCTCAGCGGAGGTCAGAAGCAAAGAATTGCTATCGCTCGGGCTATTCTCAGGGACCCTACGATTTTGATCCTTGATGAAGCCACAAGTGCACTGGATGCCGAGAGTGAGCACAATGTTAAGGTACAAGTCTCTCTAGTACCCAAGCATGCCAATGGTGAACTAGATGTAGAAATTTGGAAACACGAACTTAACTTTCTGTTTTTGACCACCATGTGTAGGGAGTCATTCGTTCCCTTAGAAGTGACTCAATGTCAAGGAGAACTGTCATAGTGATCGCGCATAGGTAATCGATCTGTTATCTGTATATATACCCTTGTGTCGAGACATCATAAATACTCAGTTTGATTCCTTTGGTGCCAGGCTCTCAACCATACAAGCTGCTGATCGCATTGTCGTTATGGGTAATGGTCAAGTTATCGAGGTTCGTTACTTGTGTATCTTAGTTACCATACGCTATGCTCTTCGTTCATAAATCTGACAGTGAATCCCCATCTACTTGTTTCAGATGGGGAGACACAAGGAATTGCTGCTTAAAGATGGATTGTATGCTCAATTAACCAGAAGACAAGCCGACGCAGTGGCCTAATTCTATGTAGTGCAGATTACTCCCGTTGGTGCACTGGCATAGCAAATTAAGCTGTCTTGAACAAGCCTTCTTTACCTCCTATGGTCGTACTACTGAGGTAAAAAGAGGCATTTCCGAAGTAAATGTAAAATGTGTTGGAAGTAAGAAGAGCACAATATTAGCGGAAGGTATGTGAGGGATCCAAATTGTATCCTTCACTAGCTTTGAATCCGGTCAAAGTGATCTTTTGAAGATAATTTAGTTTGTCTTAAACACACATGAAATTTTTGTGTATTATGATTTTACAAAACTAAATGTTGTTATGGTCAGTAATTTAGTAGAATAAGAAATGTGTCTTGTAAATTTTGGTAGTGCATGAGTCATTTGATGGTATATAATTTAATGATATTGATCAAGTGTAGTCAATGTCGAATTTGATCGTGATCACATTTTTTGAATCCTTTTTTCCAGCATGTATTAAAATGAATATCATTGTGTAGATCACACAAAATCTGATTTTTTTGAAGCACACATATCTGAATTTGTAGTTGAAACGAAATAAAAAAAAATCAATTAAAATAGTAGGGGAATTAAAAAATAAGAGAAAGAATGTGCTAGGCGGCACATACTAATTGGATTACTGAGAACTCCCAGGTGCTACAACAGAGTCCTCCCATTTGCAATGCCTGCACAACTCGACTAGAAAATTCACATTTAAAGAACAAATGTTCTCTAGTTTCTGCATCAGTATCACACAAACACACAACCCATTAGTTTGCTTGCCCCACTGCAACAGCTTTTGCTTAGTGACAATACAATCCAACATGATCATCCAGGCCAGAAAGCTATTTCTAGGAACATAATTCTTCCCCCAAATAAGTTTTGCCCAGTCCACCACCTCATACTTGATTCTCAAGGTGTTCCAGACTACTGACACTTTAAACACAGGCATAGGTTTATTGTCCCACAGAATTTGAGAATTGCTGATCAAAAGTAAAGGTTGAATCAGTAGGCGTATCTTGAGAATACGCCTCCAATCCCAGGAGCTGCTCTGACAGGCTGAAACAATCCATATAAATAGATTTCCTCCTCAAAACAATAATTAATCAATCAAACATACTTGAGTCTATATTTTATTATTCAAGCAACTCAAAGCAATCCTCCCTTAGATGTCCCATATAGGCCTTATAACACAAGTCATGCTCTATTTTGAATTAATGTCATGTTGATGTCGATTATCAACCGCTAGTGCTTTTATGGAATTGGTTGAAATACATTGGTATGAGTTGTACAAGCCTTCAGCCAACTAACTTTCTTCCTATAAAATGAGACTAAGAAGACAAGGAGAAACTATCCCAACAGGCAACACGCATTCTTTTCCCTATTTGCCATTCTATCTCATGTACCCATGTTCTTATTTGTGTTCAAGATATCGAGTAAAAGCAGCGTTACTAATTCTCTTCTACTTCGTATTTCAATGGTATTGCTTATTCTTATTTTCGTGATAATTATTTATAACATGTTATCAACACAAATTTTCTATGTACTCATGATCATACCGATTTGAGCCTATTTTGGAAATAGGAGTTTTTACCATTACCATGATTGTTCTACGTGCTCAGTCTTATGCCGATCAAAGTCAACTCCTGAAGTGGATGCTTTTATCATTATCACGATTTTTCTATGCACTCAAAATTTTGTCGATCAGAGCCAACTTCGAAAATAGACGTTTTTAACGAAATTTTTTACCCACCCAAGATTCTATTGATCAAAGATAACTATGAAAGTAGAAATTTTAATGGTAGACACGAAGATTTTGTCCGCCTAAGAAATTGACAATATGTAACTAGCACGATTGGATTGCATTCCTAAGATTTATATTCCTGACGGATATGTTAAACTCCCATATGTGATATGTTGTAACTATTGATTCCAAAGAAATGCAAGTCCTCTAGATTAAAAGGAGCTTGATGATATTGTAATCATATTTAATCTCTAGGTGTTATAATATTGGTATAGAAGAACCAAATGTATCTGATTGGGAAAATGAAAAAAAATCTTAATAAATAAAATCTTGAATGGAATTTGAAGGAATCGAACGAAAATTATCAGTGACAATATTTTTATATATTGTAACGTGCAATATGATAAATGAACATCATGAAGTTAGATTAATTTATCACTAAGAAGTGATTGACCAAATTATAATGATGTATTTGAGGCATGTATAAACTTGCATGCAAAGTAACAAATTTTGAGAGTTTTACTTCACTCAATTTCTACTGTGGCTACTATCCCAACCGTGACAAAGTGCAGCCACAATTGGGTGCATTATAGTAAAACTAAAGTGAAATTTAATTTAAATCAGGGAGGCAAATGCATTATTACTTCGCGGACCACTGATGACTCGATATTTGCACATGTTTTCCCCTTTGTTTCTTGATCGTTTGAGCTTTAATTATCGCGTCTTTGGCCTATTTTACGCTAGGTTGTGTTCCTTTGTCACATTTCAGGTCCTAGCACATAAAGTGAAGCATAGGCGCAAGTTTCAAGTCAATCAGAGATCAATTGGCGATTAGGGAGAAGAAACTCGGGCATGACCTGAAGAAGAATGGATTTCTACCTCACTTTATGGACAAAGAATCATGCAAGCTTTTCATTAAAATAAAGAGGACAAGACTACGAGCGTCTGGGATCAAACGACGACTGATTCGGAGTCCGAACGAGGGAGAAACGAAGCATTGAATATAGGGGAACAGGTTCGGCAGTAAAAACACGGGCGCGCCTAAATCAAAACACGGTCGTGCCCATATTTAGGCACGACCGTGTTTTGGCCGACACGCGCGGGCGTGTTTTTAACACGGGACAAAGCACGGGCGGGCAAAACCAAAGCACGGCCGTGCCCTCGACCGTGTTTTGCCCAGAATCGGGTTTTTTAGCCCAAATTCGAGCCAAAGGAGGAGGAGAGCTGGGTTTTAGATCCCAAACACCCAAGGGACGAACCAAAGAGAGAGAGGGCGATTTGATGGCATTCTAAGAGTGGAATTGGAGGATTTCTTTGCCTTGGAAGCTTGAGGAACAAGCCCGGACTTGAAGACTGATCATCTGAAGATTCTTACTGCAGTCTCTCTCTTCTCTATGGAGTAACTTCCCTTCACTTAGGGTTTGAGGAACCCTAGCTATGTTTGTTTGATTGGATGATTGTATGAGTACTCTGACTTGATAATCTTAAGTTCATATTCAATCTATGCATGTTTTCATGATTCAATTCTGATTTAGTCGAGATTATTGATTCTGCTTTGATCCTATGAGAGCGAATACCTGATTAGGTCAATAGAGCACCATAGATTGATAGTAGTGGATTGATTGCTTTAGTCGAGGGTTGGTTGACTGCTTTGTATCGATTGAGAACCTCTAATTCAGAACGCCTTGATCGGTTGTTCTAGAGAAGTATACGTCCCTCTAGGCAATTGACTCAAGAGGGCCTTGTTCCTTTAGTCGAGACTCAAGGTCTAGTCAAGGATTCTCCGCATTGTGAATGAAAGTGAAACAAGTTAGAAATCATCAATCGTTAGTCTGGCTAGTGGCTAGGGGAATCATACCTAAGTGAGTTCCCAACCTGTAATTAGATTAACTTTAACTGTAGTTTGCTAGAGTAGTTTTAGTTCTTTCATCTTAGTCTGGTTTGCTAAATAATAAACTGAAGCTGAGTAATAGTAACTCTAGAGACTCGTGGATTCGATATTTATCACTTGAGCCACTATACTTCAGTCCCTTTCATTGGTTACACTTGGCCTTTGTTAGGAGTTGTGTCATAGCGAGTCAAGTTTTTGGCGCCGTTGCCGGGGACTTTCTAGAGTATTAGGAAAGGCAGAAGTTTGTTACTTTAGAGTTTTTCTTTTCTTTTCTTTTCCACCCTTGCTTTTCACTTGGGTGTTTTTGTTTTTGTTGGTGCATATCTGAATTATGGATCCTCATGGCTTCTCCAATCATTGGGGGTATCCACCACCATCCGAGTGGTATTACCCGAGACTCCCTGGAGAAATCAAGGAGGAGAAGACTATGGATTCGGGTTCCAGTACCAACCCCCTTACTACGAAGAACAACCGGGCCCCTGGGCATATCAAGAACAACCTCATTACCAAGAAGAATTTCTCCCACAACCAGAAGGGCCATCAGCGCTGGAGTTACCCATGGCGGCCTTCACGGGCCATTCTGCAGAGCCATGCTACACTCCACAGCCAGATCCAAACTATGAATTGAGTCTTCTCATGGAGCAGTTTGCTCGAGACTATGAGAGATCATGCTCCAGGATGGATCACTGTGTCCAGGCCTTTCGTGAAACAGAGGAGATCCTCCTGAGCCTTAAGAAGAGCGCCGATGATCTTGAGCGATCTTTGGTACAACCTGCTCCAGATCACCCTTCTGCTACCATACAAGAAGAGGAGGAGGAAGAAGAAGGCTACAAGGACATAGTGGATCACACTGAAGTTGTCACGGAGAGCTCCCGTGATGATCATGATCAGGAATGTCATATCATAGCCGACCACACCTTCCCACATCCCAAACTGAGCTTTGAAGAGGCGGGCATTAGTGAGGAGATGCAAGAAGATCTCATGAAAGAAATTGCTTGGAAACTTGCTCTCTAATCCGTGCTAGAAGAAGAAGAGCAAGAAAGGGTGCAGAAAGAAGTTGTGGAGGATGACGAAAGTGAAGCAGGAGGAGTTCTTGATCATTTCCCAGGGGTGATACCACATGAACAAGGAAGGGAGGTTGAAGAAGCAATTGGCGTCCAGGTTGAGGACGAAGTTGAGGTGGAAGAGGCTTGCACCGGCCATGAGTTACATTTGATATCTCCACCAAACTTTGAGGAACTATTTAGCAAGGATCCATTTGCAGTGTCTCTTTGCCATACCAAGGTCACGTCGACATCGGTCCCTCTAGGTGGACGCGATGGTGGTCAATCGATGCTGTCATATCTGGTTTGGGGCAATGAGACGAGAGAAGAGAAGAAGAGGTCTCGAGGGTGGAGACTTCATCCGCATCAAGTGCACGAGCTTCCATCACCTGTCATACCAGATGCTCGTGACTTGAGACTCCACCTCATTGACGAGAATCTCAACTTCAAGGAGGTTTTGGGGTGGACCAAAACTTAGGAGCCATCGTCCGGCTCACGACGTGAAAGAAGCGCTTGTTGGGAGGCAACCCAACCAGTCGGTTTGCATTTCTTTCTCTTTTTCTCCTTGGTTGAGTCAGTTTTGTTATTTGATTTTAGAGTCAATAACTCAACCTTTGTGAGATTTTGTGTGGTGTTAGTGGTCTGACCACTCTCTCCTCCTAGAATACACCGCCTGCCCCCGTCTACCATCATTCACCCTGGATCTGGTAACTTCGTTCTACCCTCCTTATCTTTCCTCCATTGAGGACAATGTCGTGCTTAAGTGTGGGGGGATGTTCGATTATGTATTGCGGGTGAATGTTTGGTTGTTTGTGTGCTTGGAGCCTAGTCCACTGTCCAAATTTTTAAATTTGAGGGCTCCAAGTACGTGTTTCCTTGCAAATTGCCTGCTCAGTATGCTTTGAATTGACAGTCTCTACAGTAATGTGCAACCTAGGGAGGTAGTGTAGCACTATGGAGGATGTTGAAGTATAAGATTTTTCCTATCTAGCTCTCTGCTGTTCCAGTTGATTTTGTGAATTAGTGGAGCTAAGACCGTTGAATTCATGTGGTAATGGTGACTCTGTTTGGATTGTGTTATGGACTCGTGTATCGAACAGGGTGCTCATGTGAAAAATGAAAAGCAGTTGGTCCTCCATGTCAAAATCATAAAATCTTAAACATGGGGTAAGCCCAATGTGTGCAGCACCGTTCATTGCACCAAATCGGGTTTTGGAAGAGATTTTAGGGATCCTTAGTGGGGTACTCTACAAGGTGAAGCTAAGCTGTCTCTAGTGCAAGTAAAACTTCCACCCGTTGAACGGTTTGCCTACTTGAGGATGTGTTTTTAAGGGCACGGATAGAGCTTCCGACCCCCCTTAATTTCATTGACCCTCCACACGAGTTGAGGAAAAGGAGTTAAAAGAAGTACTCTGGCGAGCGCCAGATGTACAGAAATTGCTCTTGCTCGACTAATAAGGGTCGACCGTGCAAAAGACTGCAGTTGGAACCCCCGCCAAGTGAATGAAAAAGAAAAAAAATGTAAAATGAAAGTGAAAAAGGGGTTCCAACGGTGAAATGTAGTGAAAGAGAACCCCGGTACAACGAGTCCTTGGTTGTGAATGGTGTGAGTCCCTTTATCCATGAACTGACTGTCTTACTTCTACTTCTTCTCATGATCCTGGCTTGAGTCTAGTACTCGCATTAAGAGAGATAGGGAAGGTCTTAGAAGACCAGTTGACCTCGTAAGCTGCTATATGATCTAGGAAATCCTCTACCGACGATCGAGGTTGTATGTTGATATAGAGGTCTGGAGAGTTGCATTGGTTTGAGTCAGGTTTGCTTGGGGACAAGCAAACGGTTAAGTGTGGGGGGATTTGATGACTCGATATTTGCACATGTTTTCCCCTTTGTTTCTTGATCGTTTGAGCTTTAATTATCGCGTCTTTGGCCTATTTTATGCTAGGTTGTGTTCCTTTGTCACATTTCAGGTCCTAGCACATAAAGTGAAGCATAGGTGCAAGTTTCAAGTCAATCAGAGATCAATTGGCGATTAGGGAGAAGAAACTCGGGCATGACCTGAAGAATAATGGATTTCTACCTCACTTTATGGACAAAGAATCATGCAAGCTTGTCATTAAAATAAAGTGGACAAGACTACGAGCGTCTAGGATCAAACGACGACTGATTCGGAGTCCGAACGAGGGAGAAACGAAGCATTGAATATAGGGGAACAGGTTCGGCAGTAAAAACACGGGCGCGCCTAAATCAATACACGGCCGTGCCCATATTTAGGCACGACCGTGTTTTAGCCGACACGCGCGGGCGTGTTTTTAACACGGGGCAAAGCACGGGCGGGTAAAACCAAAGCACGGCCGTGCCCTCGACCGTGTTTTGCCCAGAATCGGGTTTTTCAGCCCAAATTCGAGCCAAAGGAGGAGGAGAGCTGGGTTTTGGAGCCCAAACACCCAAGGGACGAACCAAAGAGAGAGAGGGCGATTTGAGGGAATTCTAAGAGTGGAAATGGAGGATTTCTTTGCCTTGGAAGCTTGAGGAACAATCCCGAACTTGAAGACTGATCATCTGAAGATTCTTACTGCAGTCTCTCTCTTCTCTATGGAGTAACTTCCCTTCACTTAGGGTTTGAGGAACCCTAGCTATGTTTGTTTGATTGGATGATTGTATGAGTACTCTGACTTGATAATCTTGAGTTCATATTCAATCTATGCTTGTTTTCATGATTCAATTCTGATTTAGTCGAGATTATTGATTCTGCTTTGATCCTATGAGAGCGAATACCTGATTAGGTCAATAGAGCACCATAGATTGATAGTAGTGGATCGATTGCTTTAGTCGAGGGTTGGTTCACTGCTTTGTATCGATTGAGAACCTCTTTCGATAGAGGGAGTCTAATTCAGAACGCCTTGATCGGTTGTTCTAGAGAAGTATACGTCCTTCTAGGCAATTGACTCAAGAAGGCCTTGTTCCTTTAGTCGAGACTCAAGGTCTAGTCAAGGATTCTCCGCATTGTGAATGAAAGTGAAACAAGTTAGAAATCATCAATCGTTAGTCTGGCTAGTGGCTAGGGGGAATCATACCTAAGTGAGTTCCCAACCTGTAATTAGATTAACTTTAACTGTAGTTTGCTAGAGTAGTTTTAGTTCTTTCATCTTAGTCTGGTTTGCTAAATAATAAACTGAAGCTGAGTAATAGTAACTCTAGAGACCCGTGGAATCGATATTTATCACTTGAGCCACTATACTGCAGTCCCTTTCATTGGCTACACTTGGCCTTTGTTAGGAGTTGTGTCATAGCGAGTCAACCACCTTGTTATCTAGTGAATATAAGGTTTGAGTTAACTAATTATAACAAAAACAAAGTAATGGGAATTTTAGTAAAAAACTAAAGTGAGAAATCCACTCGGGTGTTGTATCTCTCTAGTTGAAAAATAGACTGACGAATGAATTATCCAAGTTTGCCAATTCATGATTTACACCACGGAGAATCCTATTCTCGACTGAGCTCCCTTTCAAGTTACTCAACCTCACCTAGAGCGGACTATCAGGAGGGAGAGTTTCACGTCTATAGAAATTAACGTTTAGGGCGTACCAAATAGATTCCCTCTATTGGAATGCAATCCAACACGACATTTTAGCACGATTTCATGCTCGATCCATCGACCCACAATGAAGATTGAGGAAAGTGATCTAATCTACGTAATTGGATATTCTTTACCTTAGGTTAGTAGCCATAATTGAGAAGATTAGACCAATCGCCAACACAATTCGTGAAATACCTCAAATCAATATATAATCTTTAGTTAATCAAACAAGGAAATCAATAAGTGATCTAATATAACACATACAACTAGAATTCTCCAACACTCAAGTGTTAGAACTGAAGTGTTGGGTTCACGATGAGAGAGAGAGAGAAATACACAAATCAAGAGAAGAAAACATCCTAGAAGGTTGGGTTCTTGCTCTTGCACATTGACCTTCAACCCTTGGTGATGGATTTGAACTTTAATTGTGATTTGAAGCTCCAATTCTCAAACTAGGGATCTCCTTAATTAAATACGGATATCAAACGTGTTATACGTGTTTAGTACAGAATCCATCAAATGAACGGAAACAGATGAAATGATTTGACAATAATAAAGATATAGAAGTTTTAAACGGATAAATTACGTACGAGCACATATATGTGTATTAAACGAAGTATCTACTAACTATGTTGATATCACGGTTGGAGGCCCGTGACAAGTTCAGTAGCCTAATCGACTTCGATCTCCTAGGATCCATGCAATTATCTGGAATAATTATTTATAATATGTTCTACATTTTAAGATCTCGAAGTTTTCCTATGATTTCTATTATCCAAACTGTTTATGTTTTTTCCTCATTGTACAATGAAACTATCAATAAAACAGTTTATTTTTTATGATGGTGATAGAAATGCATTAATCAAGAGACACAAGAACAACAATACACTGTCCGAAATCGGGAATAATTCAGAAGAACTGAACTAAACACCGCAACACACGCAACAGAAAAAGAAACAAAAATGAAACAAAAACAAACTAGCAACGTGGACCAGACCACCCCCGCTAGGGATCACATCAGTAGGGAGCAAGCGCCGAAAAAGCAGCAATCCGCAACACAAGACCCGCTAGCTCACCAGAAACAACACGTCCTAGACTAATCTGCACCTACAAATCAATAGATCAAAAGACCACTGCCCACCTAAAACTTAACGCACAATTGATCCTTCCACAGCGAACACAAAAGCCAATCTGCATCATGCAACACCCAATCCTTCAAACCAAATACTGCGCACCACAAATCGACACACACGATCCAACAGGAACCAAGGAAGACACCAACAAACTGCCACCAACAGCAGCATGCTCCATAAGTGGAACCAATACAGACATTGCTAACATAGGCCCAAAGAAGTACCTGTCAACTCAACCTGCCAATAAATTACCGCACCACCCTAAACCGAGAACTCCACAAAAAGGCATCACCGATAACGATGTAATTGCACGTATTTGCACCCCTAGTTCTTATCCGTTTGAGGGGCATAATCGTGTATTTTTGGCCTATTTTACGCCGGGTTGTGCTACTTTGTCATATTTCAGGTCCCAGGCGTCAAAGGAAAGGCTAAGCACGAGTTTTGGGGCATTCGGAAGTCATTCGGTCGAGCTGGAGCCAAAACACGGGCACGCCTAAATCAAGACACGACCGTGTTCCTAGACCGTGCTTTTACTGCCGAGACTTTATCTGAGTTTGGCTAACACTAGCTCAAAACACGGGCAGGACTGAGACAGAACACGGCCGTGTCCACCAAAAGCACGCCCGTGTTTTCCCCAAAAGGCTGGCCGTGTATTTAACACTTGGCAAGGGCACGGGCTGGCTGGAGCAGAACACGGCCGTGCCCTCGACCGTGTTTTGCCCAGTGATGCCCTTTTAGGCAGATTTCAGCCAAAACAGAAGGGGATTCGAGTTTTAGAGAGACAGAGCGATTCCTAGAGAGAGAAAGCGACGAACAAGAGTTCCCAAGTGCCCTAGCTTGATCTTCATCACCATTGGAGCTTGGCTTGAGCTTGGAGAAGTGCCGATCAACGTCCAGGAGCAGAAATCCATCCTTCACAGTATGATTCCCGCGTCTGATTCTGCTTTTGCTTCTTTCTCCATGGAGTAGTTCTCCCATTCATCTGGGTATGGGAAACCCTAGATTTGTATGTTAGGTTTGATTGTATGAACCCAAGTACTGATTCTATGATTTGATTATATTCAATTGAGGGTTGAATGATTGAATGGCATGAATCCTGATCAAATTCCTGTTGTTTCTGCTTTAACCTAGAATGAGAATATCTGCCTAGGTTGATAGAGCATCCTTGATTGAAGGTAGGGAGTTGGTGACTTTAGTTGAGGAGCCAACTCACTATTCTGTACCGAATTCACTTCGGTAGTGGAGGTTTTGTTCGTTAGGGCCTCAATCTGTTTACTCCGGTGGAGGTTAGTCGCCCGCTAGAGACTCAGATTGAGAGGGTCTGGAGACCTTTAGTCGAGACTTCAGACTGCTTAAGAACCTTCTGCAGTATAACTATCATAGAAACTGAACTTGGTAATTGCAATCCGGCTTAACTGCAGTCTAGGGGGAACCATATCTGGTTGACCTCTCTTAACCTGAAAACAACCGTTTACTTGCTTTGTTTGTTTGTTTGTTAGTTTAGACCTGCACTAAAGTTTCATTGCTAGATAACAAGAATTCACTGAGTAGTCATCAAATCTAGGACCCGGGTTGACATTAAAACCCAAACCCGCTATACTACGCTTTAGGAAGTGGTTACACTTGGCCAATTTCTAGAGTGACAGTAGGAGTGAGTCAATCACCTTCCAGCAGACCAAACTCCTCCTCGACAAGAACACGTCTCTAGAAATTGAAGAATCCCCTCTACCTCAACCAACTTATAGCCATGTCCCCTCTACCTCAACCAACTTATAGCCATGTCCCTATGAACTTTCTATGAGCCACCATCCATTCCATCGATTTCTTCACCGCTTTTCTAGCCACTAGAGAAGAAACATTACTCTTATCTTCGAAAATCCTTTGGTTTATTTCAAGCCATACGAACCACCACACGACATGAAGTAAGCATGAAACAAGCCCCTCCTCCATGTTGTTCAAATCTTCACTAGGCCACTTTTTAATAGTCGTCACTATCCTAATTCAGCAAGGAAACTAAATCAAACAAGTAATCTGAATCCAACTCCGAATCCTAATGGCTTGCTGATTGTGGCAGCACGAGATAGCATCTTCGAGGATCTCGCAAATGATCTTCCTAACCTTGGCAATCTCATCCAATTCCTTCTCGTGGTTTAGAAATTGTTCCTCTTTCATCCTCAACTGGTTCCAGAAGCTGGTTGTACCCCAAACTCCAGGAATTGCGTCCCAAAGTCAGCACTTCGAACACGCTAAATGACTTAGCCAAAAACAAACAGTTTTTTGGTTCTGAGCAAGCATCTCGGTGAGCTTTGAAATCAACCTTTCTGGACTTCCCCTGGAGCCACCAAGCACTTTTTGTTGAAGAAGACATCCTTAGCTTCAAAACAAGCTATTAAACACACATTTTCATAGAGCCAATCTCTTGATCCACACCTTCCAAATAGGTAACCTGAAACAACAAAAACACTTAACCAATTTTCAGGTTTGTTGTTGTGTATTGAACTAGCTTCTTGATCAATCCATGAATAGGTGAACACTTGTCTCCTCCTTTTGCTAACACATAGCGTACCTATTCGACAAGATCCAACTTTTTTTTCCAGATTGTCCACAGGAGGATCCTATTATGATACACTTACCACAGGAAGAAACACACTTTGCTCGGAATTATTCTTCTCCAGACTTGACATGTAGGAAACTCCTGCACACCTCGAAGATCATTTCTGAGCAGCTGCTTATATAAAGATCGAAAAGAGAAACGCCCATCTGACTCAAGAGTCCATGTCCTCCTGAAAGGACTAACAAAATTCCGATAAAAGTCAACTGAACACAATAACGGATTAAGAGCAACCCTCTCCCTCTCAGCCCCACCCTTAAATAATATTTAAAATTAAAATCCCAGTTAACAACCTCACTAGAAAAATCAGCAATGTCGGAAATAAGAGCTTCCGGTTCAACAGCAGCATCGGCTAGGCGGGGTAATGAGGCAGCTAGGAAAGTCTCGGGGATCTAGCAGTCCTGCCAAAATGATATCATAGTACCATTCACCGGTTCCAACCAAGCGAACTTCTAGAAAAGGCTGTTTTCTTTGCTGACGTTTGCCCAAACTAATTTGCAGAATCCCCCTTCGCACTTCTCGTCCGCCACAAAGATGAATCGTTGAGGTACTCATAGGAAATCAATTCCCGCCACCACGTGTCCCTCTTAACCTTATACCTCCATAACCATTCGAACAACATTGCATCATTGAAAGCTTTGAGATCATGTATACCAAAGCCTCCTTCATCCTTCGCAGCTTTGCACTTCTTCCAATCCGTAAGAACCATCTTGAACCCCTCAGCCTTCCCTTTCCATAAGAAGTTTATTTAACATTTTTCCAACTCTTTCATCACTGACATTAGAGCTTTGAAAAAGGAGAAGTAGTAACTCGAAATATTCGAAAATACCGATTTGACCAACACAAGTCTACCACTGAAAGACTAGGCTCTGCTTCCCCAACCATTACGCTTGCACGGATACTTATCAATAATCGGATCCCAGATTGAAGCATCGTTTGGTTTGCCACCAAGAGGGAACCCAAGATACTTTAATGAATCCGAGCTCCAATTACACCTGAAAATCACCGCAAAGTAACTAGGGTTAGGGACATCCCCAACCGTATACATGATGGACTTTTCCAAGTTTATCTTAATACTGTTACCATTTGAAAGCAAGCTAACGTCGCAAGCATGTTTAAAACTTGATCGTAGCTAGCATCAAAGCATGACAAGGGATTCCCTTGCTGGAGACCCTTAGACACTGGAAAAAAGGAAATAATTTTTTCAGCATAAAGGAAAGAATTTCCATGACAAGTAGGAAAAGCCCATGTGACAAGGGATTCCCTTGCCCGAGACCCTTAGACACTGGAAAAAAGCCGTGGGCCTCACCATTAACAAGGATACAAATATTTGAGCTGACACGCTAAAACACAATACCAAACTACGACAAAGTATAATCACATAATAGAAATGCAGAATAGTGGGAAAGTTTAATTTATCAACCCGGGGTCTAGATCTATTGCCTACTCAGTGAACTTCTATTATCTAACAAGACTAAATGAGTGAAATGTGAGTTCAAACCAAAGCAGAAAGAAAACAATAAATTTTCCGGTTTTCTAAAGCAAGAGAAGAGTAAATCGGGGATGAGTCCCTCTAGCTCCTTAATTAGGTTCAAGTTGTACTTCCTTTCGGTGGATTTACTGTTGATTAAACTGCGGAAGATCCGAAATTAGCTTGGAATCTCTTAATCTGATCAAGCCGTTTAGACAGTATACCCGACAGGTGACTAGCCTTCACTAGAATAGACTGCTAAGGCGATTCACACAGAACTCCACTACTGGAAACAAATTCCAGTACAAATTAAAGTAGTGAATTGACTGAATCTCGCACAATCAAAACAGCACAGGTTGAAGCAGAAATCAACAGAAGTTGATCAGGATTCAATTGACTCAATAAACACACTTCAATCCATTAAAATCAATCAGTATTTCATCCCAAAAGTCATTACAATCAAGATCCCTAATACATGGAACTAGGATTCTTCATACCCAAGTGAGAGAAAGGTCTACTCCATAGATAGATAGAGAGAGAGAGAGAGAGAGAGAGAGAGAGAGGAAAACAGAAATGAAAGCAGTCATACTCATAAAGATGGGAATAATCTTCTTTGGGATGTCAATATTCACTCTTGGAGACGCAATCTGGGCTTCAATGGTGAGAAATCCACTCCAAATAGCTCTTAGGGTTTGTGCATCGTCACTTGCTCTCTATAAAACTCTATTTTTGCTCCAAAAAGTCAAATCCCCTTCCTTTTGCTCCAATCTGCCTATTTATCTCAATACTGGGTGAAATACGAGCAAGAATACGGTCGTATTTCTCCTCTGCCCGTATTTTGCCCAAAACGCGCGTTTCGGTTAAGTTGGGACGGAAAGAACCATGGTCGCGTCTGGGAAAATACTGGCAGTATTTTGAAAATTATTGGCAGTATTTTTCAAATTACGGTCGAATTTTTTTCTTCGTCTCCCTGTAATTTGCTTTTCTTCAGCAGTTTTCAAGGGCTAGCCTGGACCATAAGAATACGAGTTGGACGCTGGAGAAATACGGTCGTATTTTTGAGAAACTTGAACGTAATTCTCACCCGAGCTTTCATCATGCTCGACATAAAAAATACCGGCAGTATTTTGTGAATTACAGTCATATTTGGTGCAGGGGACGACTGTATTTAGTTTCCAGAATCACCAAATTATCTCCAAACGACCCGAAACATGTGCCTAAGCTTTCCTTTACCTGCTAGGACCTGAAATGTGACAAAATATCACAACCTAGTGTAAAATAGGCCAATGAACCACAAATTCGAGCTAAAACGGTCAAGAAACAAGGGTGCAAACATGTGCAAATAAGACACTATTAAATTTCCCCACACTTAACTGCTTGCTTGTCCCCAAGCAAACCAAGTAAGATACAAGGTAAGCTCAAAACATTTTAATCATGCAAACTTTGAGGACATATCATATAGTCACAAAACACGTGAATCGTACTGGCTTTTAGACCTCAACCCATGAACAATCTCAATGACAACCTAGACAACCACCACAGATGACATTCGAGTGTAGGAAAATCGAGTAAAGGAAGAGTCTCCCTTCTGTTCACCAACCAACATAGACCTGACTCAACCACTTATTCAAGACAGTCACCTCATGCATAAAATTCAAGACATCAGAATCAAGACCGAGCAATCTAAGTCCTCAATGGGGTATATATAATATGAAAATTGAATCACTAACTCTAGACCAGTGGGGTCAGGACAAAATTTGATGCAAGATGTGCATACTCGTACTCTCAATCTCTAACGCTCTTCACCATGATAGCAGCCTCTAAATGCTAGAGTTCACATATCGGATGTCACCACTAACTAGTCAAGAGGTCTTAGACGCGAGTTTAGATGACTGGCTAGGGTCTTGGACATGGGGAAGAGGTCTTTTAGGTGATGGAAGAATTCATATAATACAAGGTTCCATAGTTCCAAAACCAAACACATCAACATTCATTCAAACCATTTACTTTCTTTCTATTATTATGCAATAATCAAGTTCTTTAGAGCACAATAGTGAATGAGGTCACAACATGTTAGCATTTCCAAGCCAGTCTGCCAAGAAACACTATTTTATGGGCATGGTTAAGATTTTTGTGGTGGCTCTCTTATGCTTTCATTTGTTTATTTTTTCTTTTCTTTTCTTGAGAGAACCACCACTTATGCACATTCTTTTATTCTTGCAACCCCATGCCCCAGATTTTAAGATTTACCTCCAACCCTCATCTTATTTCCAGTTGAAAAACAGAAATCATGCAAAAACCACTCTGTAGAACCTCAAATAGATGCAAACAAGTGATTTTTCAATGTTGACACAAAGAAAGAAAGTTATACGACTTGGGCAGACTAGGGGTATGACACACTAGGACAGTCAATATGGTCGTGGGCTAATCCTATGACTCTATCATGCTAACTAGTGGCAACGTAAATGCTACACATCATGGAAGAGGGATCTATTGCACAAGAAAGAAACGAGCAGACTCAAATCTCACATGGCTACCTATATGCTCTATCTCTCATTCTGATTCCCTAAACTATATGCATAAATGAGCGTCAAAAATTAGAGATCAATCCTAGTCGCAGTTGGTAAGCAGACACTTGCAAAACTGAACCCCTACACAACTCTACTGCACTTCTTAGTCATCATTATAAGTTGTCCTAGTCACCAATAAGTTGTCATGCATCAATGTTAACAGCCAATCGATTCACCAAATAGCAGTACTTGGAGCCCTCAAATCTCTAGATTTGGACAGCGGGCTAGGCTCCAAGCACACAAACATATGTTCCAAAAATTACAAAGCACCTCCCCCACTTCAATAGATTAAAATCAATCAGTATTTCATCCCAAAAGTCATTACAATCAAGATCCCTAACACATGGAACTAGGGTTCTTCATACCCAAGTGAGAGAAAGGTCTACTCCATAGATAGAGAGAGAAGAAAACAGAAATCAAAGCAGTCATACTCATAAAGATGGGAATAATCTGCTCTGGGATGTCAATCTTCACTCCTAGAGATGCAATATGGGCTTCAATGGTGAGAAATCCACTCCAAATAGCTCAAGAGGTTTGTTCTTCGTCACTTTCTCTCTCTAGAACTCTGTTCTTGCTCCAAAAAGTCAAATCCCCTTCCTTTGGCTCCAATCTGCCTATTTACCCTGATACTGGGTGAAATACGGGCAAGAATACGGTCATATTTCTCCTCTGCCCATATTTTGCCCAAAGTGTGCGTTTCGGTTAAGTTGGGCCGGAGAGAACCATGGTCGCGTCTGGGAAAATACTGGCAGTATTTTACAAATTACGATCGTATGTTGTCTTCGTCTACCCGTAATTTTCTTTCCTTCAGCATTCTTCAAGGGCTAGCCTCGGCCCTAAAAATACGAGCTAGACGCTGGAGAAATACAGTCGCATTTTTGGGAAACCTGACCGTAATTCTCACCTGAGCCTTCATCATGCTCGGCATAAAAAGTACCGGCAGTATTTTGTGAATTATGGTCTTATTTGGTGCAGGGGACGATGGTATTTTATTTCCAGAATCGCCAAATGATATCCAAACGATCCAAAACTTGCGCCTAAGCCTTCCT